CTGAGCAAAATGAGCTATAATACTTTTGATTTGAGTACCTGTAAGCTTTGAAATATTATCTGCACTATAGGATTGAATCCTCTTGACTTTTTTAATCCTTATTTTACTGAACAATTTGAAAATATTTCTTGCCTTCTATGTCTTCTTACGTAAATTTTCTCTTGTAATATTTGAAAGATATTTTAAAATTGTATTATATACCTGAGTTCTAGCCTGTTGATTTTTAACCCTTTTATCATTATCTTTAACATCCTTAACACTTTTTTCAAACTGTTCAGTATAGTAGTACCAACAGTGAATTTCCTCTTGATAAGCTTGAGTTACATACTTTTCAGCCTTAATTGCTTTTTAGAATAATTGAGCTAAATTCTGCGAGATCGAACCCTCAGAACTCTCATCCTCATCATTGGTTTCAGTAGTCTCTCCCTTAATAGGTGTAGATAATTCATGTAATAACCCTCAAAATCTTTTCTGTTCACGATTGGTTCTTAGGGATGTTTCTCTTGATGATCGGATTTATATATTAGCGATATCATCTTCAGTTATTTGATTAGTTGAATTATCCATCCTTCAATTATAGATTTCAGGGAATAAACAGAATGAATGGTGAGTGTGATTACTACATATTCTATTTTCACTGCATTACCTACCTTATTTGAGAACTATGATTGTTATTCCCATCATCATCATTTTCAGCATCATCGATGATATCTGATAGCTCTGGTATCTCTTCCACATACGCAATTGGACTTGTCGCTTGATCATGCGTAGTAACTTCGGTTCTCTTTCCCCCCTGACCCGCAAGAGAATCTTTGTCTTCTATAGTATCATCACTTAAGGGGTCTTTTTTTCTGAAATCCTTATTCTTAGACACTATGTAATACTCACCAAAAGAAAGTGCAAGTTCCTCTCTAATAAGTTCGAAAGGTGATATACAACTAGAAATAGGGCATAAAGAAAAACATGTTTCTAATCGTACAATATGTTTTTCAAGATATATTCAATGGTATATATGTCCACATGATAATACTGTGAATAAAAGAAGTGGTAAGGCAAGAATTTCTTTATCGCAGAAGTGGCAAGGATTAAGTTTTGGGGTATATTTATCAGTTATTTTAGAAGTATTTTTTAGGAAATTTAACGAAAGTGCTTTAAGTTGAAAAACCTCTATATCATCCGCATGAATTTCTGAAGGACTTGCTGATAGTTCGCTAGTCATACTGTTAAATCATAAAGAAGATTTCTCGCCCTTTTCTCCCTACATAAATATTTTTTCATGTATCAAGACTAAAACGAAATTAGCCTTACCCTGAAAAAATTTATCTCAGAAATGAACGTCTCAGAAATGAGTATCTCGAAAATGGACATCATGGAATGAAGATCACGAATAAATCAGGATCAATAATGAAAAATACCAATTAGTTTATATTGTTCGATTTTTGCCAGGCTATGATTGTCGCAAAACATGAAAGCCCTGAGATAAATATGGTAATCCTCCTTCGATCAAAGATCTTCAGGAGAAAAGTTTTCTGATTATTTCTATACATCAACTTCAAAAAATTTTTACTAAACATTGTTGACTTATCTTCTGCAATACCAAAGAGGATGGAATTTATTTCTGAATTTCAGCGGTCTAAAATCATTCCTTCAAATGAACTGCACTCAGATGCAACTATCTCCTCCACTTCAGACTCGGAAAAATAACTTGAATTAGAAGATATAGATTCAGTTTCTGTCTCTGTTTTAGAATAGCTCGAATTGCAATATTCGCCTAGGTCAATTGAGGCATTCTGATCAATATTGTATGTTTCAAAATTTAACCATATTAGCTCGTAAAATATTTGCAATGAAGTAATAATTTTCTTAACGCTATTCCTCATATTATACCACTCAGAAATATACATATATATTTTTGGTTTAGGTTAATGTATTCTTCAATTCTATCCCTTACATACCATAACCACGTTACTTCTAAAACTACATCGTATTCAGGCTTGTCAATAACTAAAAACTTCTCAGTTGATTTTCCCAAACATTGAGGTAAAGTATTATTTTGTGATTTTAAGTCAAAGATATCTGGAATAGAAATGGAAATTTTTTCACCATAAAGCCAGCCTTTTACCATTACTTTCTTACCAGCATTAGTTGCTCCAATACCAAGGCTTTTCACTGCAGGATATTTTGATCCAAATTTCCTAGATATATATAAATCCATTTTTCTAGCAAGCTCTTTACTGATACTATTTAAGCGGGATTTAAGGTCGATTAGTGCTTCGATAGTTATTTAGCATCAATGAATGTATAATCTACTATTACTCTTTTGCAGATTTCTCGAACTACCTCATCTTTCCATATATTATTTATACTGCAACATTTTTTAAGATTCTGTATTGGTAAATTCTTTAGAATAAATGGTATTAGTTCAGGCGGAAGAAGATCAAGAAAATTAGCTATATGCATTATATATAGTTAGATTTTTTTTCAATCAAAAAAATGATTCTTCTGAGTTAATGGTCATTATTCTGAACTAATTGGATCGAACTGCTTAGATCAGATTCCTTCTAGGTTTTGCCTTCAGCAAGAATTTTACCAAATATCTTCTGCGCATTTGCCTTAGCACCTTCGGCCAGATGATCACTCCATATGACCGTTTAAATCACCCACGTGATCTGCTTATAATGCAAAAAATCTTCTGAGCTAATAATCACTGCTTCGGACTACCTTCACTCAGGTTGTTATCCAATGTATGTCTCTCAATAAGTATTGCATCCCATTCAGATTAGCAATGCCAGACTGACTGATATAATCTTTAATCCCAATTATAATAACAGTCACTGATTCTTTTTTTGCCTGAATAAGCATTTCTACCAATTCATGATAATAATCATTTTTTGCAATACGTCTCATATTTTCTCGCGTTAATCCACTATAGAATTCACTTCTAAAATGAC